ATGGAGACCTTCCCGCCAATAACATGTGACTGGAGAAATTTCTGATCTGAATGATGCTCCGAACCAATGAAGATATCATCTGACTTGATGGATCTTATACTCTCCTCTTCCCTGGGCTCCTTAGCCCATATGGGTTCAATAATATCTCTATGCTGGTCACTTTCAAAATCTAGATAGAATCAGAGTCTTGGAGAGTAAAGCAGGAATCTTAGATACAATATCTATATCTTAGCCTATTCCCTTAGCCCATATCCATAGCCTTCACCAGAGGAGATTCCTTTCACAATATTTCTGACATCTGTTCACACAGCCTACTCCACCCTCACCCCTGAGACAAGGAGCTCACTACTTAGAAAGCCAGCCTATTGTTTTCAGTATTTGCATTTGGGCGGACTTGTGAAATGCCTTCCTCTTAGTGGGTCAAAGTGACCACTGCCAAGTGAAATTAGACTGGCCTCACTGCTCTCAAGTCCACTCAGACCTGCTCCTGGAAACTCCCACTGATCTCAGCACCACCCTCTGGGCCTCACAGAACCAGCCTTCCTTACAGCCTTTGTGAAAGTAGACATGGCAAACAAGTTTTGAGATACTAATCTGTGATTTTCCTTTTGTATTTTCTCCTGTTCTTGTCTACCATTCAAGCAGGTGGCAGGTCTGTTCTCCCTTGTCTGGCGTGAGGTGGGGGTGGGAAGGATGGGGGTCATGGCAGGAAATTGCCAGCTCTCCATCCCCCCCCCACCCCCCCGCTGGGTTTTGTTTCCCAAAAGCGTAAATGGGTTGGAGAGATTTTGCTAACTACCTCTGGAAACAAAAGAAAGTGGGGGTGCTTTTAGTACAACCAAAGCAGAGAGGAAGTTCCTTTAATAGCAACAAGAGGGGAAGAGAGGAAGACAAGTCCCCTCCCTCAGAGAGAGAGAAAAGGGAGCTCCCTTGCCAATGTCCCAGAGAGGAGGGGCTGTGTGTCTCCCTGCCTTGCCAAAGGCCCCCTGTTCCACATGAGGGCTGATGCAGCAGAGCATCCTTCCCTGAGGATCACATGCACCGGTGAATGGTTTTCAGGTTTGGAATGCTCCCCCTCACTCCCTTCAACTTCCTCACCAACCCCCCACTTATGACTTGGGGTCTTTGTTCTGCTCTGGATTAGGGTGGCTTCAAGCATTGGTAAATATCCTGCCTGCCCAGTGGGATGGGGTCAAAATAGAAAATGGACTATTTCTTGCATGTCCATGTTGGGGATCAGAAGATTCAGCTACATCACACAGCTACGTGTAAAGGTAGAGTGGCATGGTGCACGGAAGTTAGAGTCAGACAGATCTAGGGTTGGATCTTCGGGCTCATTTACGAATTCCTACCTCCAACAAGTTTCTTACCCAGGGACTGAGCTTTCTCTTCTAGAAAGTGAGGATAATGTTATTCGCTAGGGCAGTCATAGAGGTGCATGCTCAGATTTCCCCTTGAGTTGGAACCTGCCATGATGAGTGTAGGCAGCAGACACACTTGGGTTGCTGCACCTTCAGCATCCACCACAGCATTCAAACTGAGGCCCTGCTCCCCAGGCTGCTGCCTGTCAATGCTGGAGCGCATCAGGGGGACTAGAGCCGGGATATTTCTCCCAACATGAGACTCCTCTTGAAGCATCCATCTTATATAAAAACTGCTGTTTGAAATTTTAACCCTGCTATTTCTGGCTTCTGTAAATGCTTGCTGGCTTAAATAATAAGGAAAATAAGACTACTCCCATTTCAGAGAGGCTATTAAACCATCTCCAGACAAAGTTATCAGTGCTGGCGTCAGGCCAAGCCTTTGGTCGAGGTCTCAAAGCCCCAGCACTTAGGGCCCTTTAAGAACTTGCAAAGGGAACTGGAAAAACCCCATATTTGGGAGACAAAGAAGGTGGAATGGTATAAATACGGGAAACTTCCTGTGTGATTTCGCCCAGAATTTGAGAGACATTTTCCTCTGGGCCCAAGCGTAATAATAAATGTAACTCCATCTCTCTACCAGCGGTTCTCAACCTGTGGGTCGCGACCCCTGAAAATACATCCTGCATATCAGATATTTACATTAGGATTCATAACAGTAGCAAAATTACAGTTATGAAGTAGCAATGAAAATAATTTTATGGTTGGGTCACAACATGAGGATCTGTATTAAAGGGTCGCGGCATTAGGAAGGTTGAGAACCACTGCGCGTTGCTTGGTTCTTCTCTGGTTTTTCTGTAACACTCTAATGGGCAACCTTTTCTCTGGGGATCCACATCTAGGTGACTGAGATGTCTCAAAGCTGCATCACAGTCTGAGGCTCCCCCTTCCCATTCTCCCCTTCCCCTTCTCCCTTCCCAGGGCCAGAGCTGCAGCAGGTCTGAAGGCTCTCCTTCTTGGTTCCCTTTAATCTCACAGAGGCATTTTCTCAATCAATCTGCGGCTCTAATTCCATTTAGGTCTCTGCTTCCCAGAAGACCCCAACTGATAAAATTACCCTTATAAGATTGTTCTAAAAGTTGGAAACAATAGCATAGTTCCTGGCTTTTGGTTGCTGATCAGTAAAGGTCAGCATCCTTCAACTGGGTAATACATTCTTCTATATTTGCTCGGTGCTTTAATCATATATTCCACTATGTACATGGGCTTCATCAGTAGACAATGTGAAGTTAGACTTCTTAACATAGCACTCCAGACTCCAAGTTATCCAAATTATCTGCAGGCAGGTAACCAGCTGCATGTTGCATGTGCGCGCGCGCGTGTGTGTATGTGTGTGTGTATAGTTGGGTGGGGTTGTGAGGGGGAGGAAATTGGTTTTGGAACCAGATAAATCATAAATCTAATCCTAATTTGTTGTGTGACCTTAGAGAACCATTTCACCTCTCTGTCTTCAGTTATCTCACCTATATAATGGGGATAATAATGCTTATCTTACTAGGTAACTATAAGGATTAGAGACATTTTATTACTCTTATGGCATAAATTTCACTAATACTCTTATTGTATAAATATTACTAAATATTTCTTGTGGGCCTACTATGTAGGAGCTTGAGATACAATAGTAAACCAGATGGGCACAGGTCCTAGAGCTTGACTGAGGCATGGCCCAGCACATGTACATCCAGTAATTATAACAGAAACACTTAGATGGTGCTTATCTTGTGCCAGGCACGTTCTAAGAGCTTCACCACATACTCACTCATTGAGTCTTTACACAAACCCAATGAGGTAGATACATGCCGAAGATTACATAATTAGGGATGTAATCCTAGTGTGGACTACAGTGGACTTGAACTCAGGCAATCTGGCTCTAGAGTCTGTACTTTTTATTTTTAATCTTCACCCATGGACAGAGAGGACAGAGAGGAAGGCGGAGAGAGAGACAGAGACAGAGACAGAGACAGAGAGAGAGAGACATCAATTGGCTGCAGGGATTGGACTTGCAACTCAGGTATGTGCCTCAACTGGGAATCAAACTGGCAACTGTTTGGTGCATGGGACAACCAACTGAGCCATGTTGGCCAGGCCATAGTCTGTGCTCTGTAAACATCTGAATTGAATTTTAAGCTTCTTCAGAGCATAAACAATCCTTACACGAGTATAAATCTAGTGAATCAAATCAGTAGAAAAAAGTTATTTCCTTTAGAGAAACACAGGCACAGAAATAGTAAGTCAGCTGGGCAGGTGTAGACACTGACCAACCACTGGTGACCCACATGATAGCTGTTACCTCCCCCCAACCCCTCCCACCATTTGCTTGGCTTCCAACTCAGCAGCTGTTTCCTGGCAGTGGCACTAGGAGAAACGCTGCCATAATATGGCTTTTCACCTTACTTAACCCTGACCTCTTCATCTGCTCTAGCCACAGGGCTCTTCTAGTTCCAATAAATTCTCAACCATCTTTTATGCCTATCAGAACTTTCAGGCAGAAAAGAAATGGAAAGTCAAATCAGTAGGTTTTCTTCTCATAAAAGCATACACATTGACTCAGTAGTTTGCTGAATTGGCCAAGTAATCAAGGTAGCAGTTAAGGACATTAGACATGGGACACTAAGTTCGTTTTTTATTACATGGCAGACACCACCCAGTTCTGGATGCCTGAGTGTAGCCAACACGGCAGCATCAGTTTGTTCCAAGAAATTCCTCAGGTTTATGATAACATACCACCCTCACCATCAATCTAGAATAAAAACGACAATCCTATATAATAAAGAGCTAATATGCAAATGGTTGTCACGCCATAATGGCTCAGACACTCAACACTAGGAGAGAGGAAAGGGGGCCAGCCAGGCACAAATGAGCTTGTGAGAGAAGAATGGGGACCAGCCAGGCTGCGGCCTGGCAGATGGACAAGCCGCCTGCCCTGAGGTCTCAGGTGCCAGCGGCCCCAGGTGCCAGCGGCTGTGCCTGCGGCCTAGGAGAGGGACAAGCTGCCCGCCCCACAGTCCCAGGCACCAGCGCCTGAGGCTGCAGCCTGGGAGAGAGACAAGCTGCCCGCCCCGTGGTCCCGGGTGCCTGCAGCTGTGGCCGGCCTGGGCAAAGCCAGCCCTGGTCCTGGGTGCCTGCAGCCAGACAGAGGGAGGGAAGCCCAGTTCCCGGGTGCCTGTGACTGGACGGAGGAGGAAATCCTGGGTCCCAGGTGCAGGGTGAAGCAGAGGCAGTTAGGGGTGATCAGGCCAGCAGGGGAGCAGTTAGACGCGATCAGGCTGGTAGGGGAGAAGTTAGGGGTGATCACGCAGGCAGGCAGAGGTGGTTAGGGGCGATCAGTCAGGCAGGCAGAGGGGTTAGGGGCGATCAGGCAGTCAAGCAGTTAGTAGCCAGCGGTCCTGGATTGCAAGAGGCAGTCGGACATCCCCTGAGGGGTCCTGGATTGGAGAGGGTGCAGGCCGGGCTGAGCTGAGGGACCCCCCCGCCCATGCACAAATTTCATGCACCGGGCCTCTAGTGCTAATATAGAAAGAAACACTACCCCTTCTTAACTAATCAAGAATGATTAAGACCAAAAATGATTGTACTTACTGGAGGGCACTGTGCAAGTTTATCAGCTGCCACCAGTTGCACATTTAAGTGTTTACTTTGGGACTTTCCTCTAGATTTAATCAACCTCTGTAAAACCTGATGGAAGAAGACACAGATCTGAGATACCGTCAATGAGTTGAAAGAAAATCAAATAAACCAAGGCCCCTTTAATAGTCTGTTTAGCACTGAGTATGAATAGAGAGAAAACACAAAGTGACAAATCACATATATCAACTCTGTGATGATATCATCCACTTACACTGACTTTCACTTATAATGGATTTGATATGTTTATCCTATTTTTGTTCCATGTGAGGTCTGGGTGGGATCTTGAGTTCCCACCCTGGATTATACCCAGAGATTTCAAAGAGAGTCCTGCAAAAGTGGAGGAACTGATCTGTACCAGGTCATTTATTGTCCAAAATCAGTTGTCATATTTTGGTTCACTATCTCAATGTCAGATAAATATCAGAGTCATTTATATATATTGGGTCCTTTTGTCAATAGTAATTATTGAGGCATCCTAGTTTAATTTTACATTGATAAGACGATTTCTTGATAGAAAGCTAAGCAAAACATTTGTACTGGTATATGGCCACATATAACCAGTGATATATCTGTCTTTTGAGCACTGCTATAACTGCATTTTGCCATATAGTCTACTCTCCTTTAACTTTTTTGTAGCTGAAACAGGACCCTCTCCCAAAAATAGTACTAGTGTACTATGATACTTCAGCACATATGGCTACCAGAACCCCAGTTGCTGCACTTGTGAACCCATGGTGACTGGGGGTGACCGGGACAGGAGGTGAGAGGGGTTGAAATCTATTGCACTGCAGTGAAGGGTGCTTCAAATTTCAATCCATCCTAATGCTTCCCCAAAGGTCCTGGCTTGGTTTGGACAAGCTCATCCCGCGCAGAACCAGCGCCAGAGATGGAAGGCCGAGGACATCCGAAGGGCTGGGGGAAAGCCCAGCTCCTGCAGGCATTCTCCACCCATGAGAGGAGACTACTGCTCTGGTTGGAAGTTGAATTGGAATTAAAATGAACTCTTGGAGGCACTGAAAAAAAAACCTGATTATTAAGGTAGTACCTCCCAAGGGTGCATATTTTATAATCACTTTTTACATTATCAACAGTTTTAAAAAATGAAAGAACACCCAAATCAAAAGTGACCAATTTGAGGCTGTCTCACTTTCATTTTTCTCTCCCCTGGTGGCCTGAAGATACATGGCAAATATCCCATGTGCGTAATCACAGAATAATTATATTCCTTGAAGAATCCAACCTAACCACAAATGTAAGGGTCTGCAATGTTTCCATAAGACATTTTATATGGTGATGTTTGACTTTATATATGATAAATCTAGATACCTTTCCAGAACTATGTACTCTCTCAACTGGGGAGAAAATATAGGTGATACAAGAATCAATATTACCCAAGAAATTTACCAAAATAGAACCCAAAGTCTCTGAAAAGCCAGTTAACTTTTCCTCACCTTTCTTAGTTTTTGTTTCTCTTATATTCCTGCATAACTGCCACAATAGACTGTGGGCTTTTTGAAGAAATGGACTATTTTTTACTTGCTATCTCAGAACTTCTAGAACCTTTACAAACTGTGGGAATTAAAACTGTGCTCATTAAAAAGGGTTTACACAAGACATTCTCCTTGCACATGAACAAAAAAGCACAGAGGAAAAAACAAAAGAGCTGCTAAACCTTAAGCTGGAGATGAGCTAATTACCTTTGGAGATGAGACTTTTACATGAACAATAATTGGTGCTAAAGACGTCTTTATAAGTTGTGCTGGGTGATTGATGGTGTCTGCATCAAGAACAACCAGTTGCAAAGATCTTGCCAACTCAAAGATTCTTTCAATTTCACTTTGTACTTCCGCTAAAAAGAGAAATAATAGATAACAAGTCATGGTTACTTAAAAAAAATTAGTTCTTATATTTAAAAAATATAGTACCCCTCTTTCAGATGCTTGTCTATATTGAAAAACAGAACATTTGGAATTTACATATTCTGATCTAACTTAAGATCTTTTCTAAAGAGAGAGAAATGGTTTGAGTTTTGCATGAAACCAAACGGTAGAAAATTTGAGGTGGCTCTCTTGATTTGCTTCTTACTTACACTCACCCTAATAGTTAGCTATTTATATAAGTATTTTTTGTTTGTTTGTTTGTTTTTAATCATTAACTGAGAGTATGTTTTTTTATTGATTTTAGAAAGGAAAGGAGAGGGGGGAGGGGAGAGAGAGAGAGAGAGAAACATTGAATGGTTGTCTCCCATATGCACCCTGACTGGGGATTGAACCCATAACCTGGGTATGTGTCCTGACTGGGAATCTAACCTGCTACCTTTTGGTGTATGGGACAACACTCCAACCAACTGAGCCATACCAGCCAGGGGCATAGCTATGTTAATTTTAATTGTTGCTTTGCCTAAAGAAATTTATTTTAGCTATAGAAGCTGAAACCACATTCAGGAAACAACTGAGACACATATACAGAGCAACATCTCATGGAAAGCAAATTGCACTGAAATGTTTTTACCAATGATCAACTTATATATTAATATTTTATAGATCTCCTTTTTAAAAATCCCACAATTCACCTGTTTTGACTGATGTGCATATTTTTGTATCCCTGATTAAATGTTCTGCATCTAATCTTACAACAAGCATATTGCTAAGTCTTACTTTAAGTATTAGGGCCAGTGGACTGTTCTGAGGCAAAATTATCCTATTATTTTAAAAAAACTAAGATCAAATATATTAAAATGTTGCAATGCATCTAGATGCAAATCTATTTGGTGGCTGTAATAGCCAAGTTATCCAAATCCATGAATGAATCTGGTCAAACAAAAAATTTAGTTTTTGTCAATATCTAAAGCAATCCAGGTATTTTTTAAAAGCAAAACAGGTTACCCATAAAAACATAATGTGACTTTCTGAAATACAAAAAAGACTTTTAAATATATATTTTATAAATCATCTAACTTATTGGGTCACGTCCAAGTCTGATTTAGACTAATTTTCAGAGAGATGATCTTGTTTTGCTTTTTACTTTTTATTTTGAGCTACAGGTGTGACCTCACAATGTTGTAATCTCGTCCAAATTACAGAGTAGACAAAGTGTAGACATGGCTAATTTAAATTACTTCAAAGGTGGCCTAGAAAAGGTGGTGTTGCTCTAACCATCCTCTCTGAAAAGGGCTTGTACCAGAATCCCATGATTTGTTTTGCTAATCTAGTATAAATTCAAGTTCATGTCACCCATTGAAAAGTTCTCCCTCCCACAATCTAATGGATTGACAAGGAGTGTGAGGTCATGAATGCTCAAAACTCTCATGTAACTCTATTCTCTTGGGCTTTGCCTAAAAGCATAAACTTTTTATTTTTCACAGAATCACTGATGCATCATCTGTATTAGACAGTTGTTTTTGATATTATTTAATACTTGAAAGGTTTCATGTTGTAAAGAATTTGGACAATTGGGCTTATTCACAACATTTTTCTGAAATTACATTCTACATTTGTTATCGTAATAATAGCATACCTGTCCCTTTTTTCTCACATCAGAAACAGTTTTAAAAAAAGATTTTTCTTATGAGAGAAGTTTAAAAACTAAATTTTATTTTTATTGTAGTAAATTTTAGCCTCAGGCTGTTGGGGTACATTCTTCATTTGTTGTTTTCATTAAACTGGTTTAATGTTAACTCCTGGCCAGGGCTATGCTAGAATAAGTCTATATTGCTTTAAGTTTCAAATCTGAAAACGATATTTTCTGAAGTAGCAAAAAGGCAGTGACGTAAACTAGACTGCTCTGGTACAAGGAACCCTCGAGGCACTTCGAGTCTCTGTGCAAATACCTCAGCAATGCCGTGGCCTGATTTCCTCTGCACCAGCAATGATGAAAGTGTGGTTTCTGTCAGGTGCAGAGGGCAGGCACACCTGCTTGATAACACTAAACCCTTGGGCAATGGGCACTCTGTCATGAGCAGAGAGGTCAGGCAGAGCCAGCCAGGAGGTTGCAGAGAGCCACACTATATACTGCTGTAGGTCCAATATTTGGATAATACGTATACAGAATGCAATAAATAAATTATATGTGTGAGGAAGAGAAATTATCTACATAGCTAATTTTCTTTCTTTTTCTTTAATATGTTTTTATTGATTTTTTTTAGAGAGAGAGAAACATTGATGTGTGTGAGAGAGAAACATCAATCAGTTCTACCCCAATCAGGGATCTAACCCGAAACCTGGGTATGTGCCCCGACCAGGAATGGAACTGGCTACCTTTTGGTGCATGGGACGACAACTCAATCAACTGAACTACACTGGCCAGGGCAACATAGCTAATTTTCTTAAGGAAAAACTTTAACCAAACCCAACAATCTTGACTACTCAGGCTGATCCTCAGAAGGGTTCCAATGGAAGTTTCCTCATGACCTCATTTCAGACAAATGGAGCTCTGAGAAGTCATGGACGATGATGCCGGCGGGATGTTAATGAACTCTTCTACAACTTGGCCATGACTGATCTGGACCCATCTCTCTCCAGTCTTTCTATCACCTGGGATCTTTTTTACATCCAAAATGCTTATAATACTTCAGTGGCTTCCTAGGCTCGAAGCAACATTTCCCAAAGTGAGTTCCCTGGGAAACAAATCCCCTGATATATCCTATGGGAAGAAGGAGGTTTTCTGTAAGAGAAATATTGCATACTACAATAGTTTCTCTTGGAATTTCAAACGTGCATTGCCCTTTGTATCCTAACAGCTCTAAGAAGTCTTGCAGTGAAGAAAACTGCCAATTGTTTAATGCACAATTTCCAAATTTATTTGATCATAGAAAATATTTTGGATGTAACAACTATTTGGTATCTTTTAAAATTAACATTTCATGGGTTCTGTTCTGGAGAACTCTTTAGCAAGACACATGGAGCCCTAACATACTGACCTCAATCTACTTTTCTCAGTCTCTTCCCTTGCTCTAAAACCATGTCTCCCCTCCCATTTTCTAAGCAGGCTCTGTAAAAAATGAGTTGTTTCTCAAACACACAGTGTTTTTCTATATGCTGATGCCTTTGCACATTCTTGTCTGCCCTGAAGAACCAGCTCAAATAAAACTTCTGAGATGTCTTCTCAGACACTTCTTACTCTCTACCCCTCTTTCTTAATACCCCACCTCTTTGCTCATACTTCCCCTATCAAGGAGTATTTTAACCATCTGTTTCCTCTTTCAGTTTGCTCGTGTGTAAGATACATTGTCTTAGTCACATTTGCTCTTCCCAGATCTGGCATAATGCATGGCACATAACAAGTGTTCAATAAACATTTGGTGAAGAAATCTGCAAATGTGCATTAACAGCAGGCAAATGGACATAAGTGGCTCACACAGTGATTATTATAATAGATTGCCATTAAATTAACTCCATGTTTGTGGTATATGAATTTACAGAGTAAAGGGGGAAAACAGTGAACTGACATCTACCTTGCTTCTTCCTCAATATTTTTTAAATATATTTTTATTGATTTCAGAGAAGAAGGGAGAGGGAGAGAGAGATAGAAACATCAATGATGAGAGAGAATCATTGATCGGCTGCCTCCTGCACGCCCCCTACTGGGGATCAAGCCTAGGACCCTTTAGTCTACAGGCCAACGATCTATTCACTGAGCAAACCAGCTAGGGCTCTTCCTCAATATTTACAGTAACTCCACCCACTCACTCCACTGATTCTGACAACAGGTGACTAGATTACCAATGACTTCAAAGCATATTCATGAAGCCCTTGGTTTCATGCAATTGTTAGTCAGGCGACCTAGCTTCTGCTTTTAAGTATCCATTAGCCTCCAATTATACATCAGAGGAAGTCAACAGCACTGTGAGGAGTTAGAGGAGAGTGAAAGACAGAAGAACAGAGAACAATGCTTGTTTTAGATATCTTCAATCTAATATGGCATCCTTGTCACCCATGATACTTGACTTTAGTCAGTTACCTAATCTGGTTCATCATTATCAACTCTGCCATCATCACTTCCTCAAGGTGAAAATAGTGTGCCTTATAGAAGTGTTTCATTCTGGCCCTGGCTGGTGTGGCTCAGTTGGTTGGAGTATCATCCGGTACACCAAAAGGTGACAGGTTCGATTCCTGGTCTGGGCACATACCCAGGTTGTGGGTTTGATCCCCAGTTGGGGCATGTGTGCAGGAGGCAACTGATCAATGTTTCTCACTGATATTTCTCTCTCCCTTCCTTTCTCTAAAAAAAATCAGTAAAAAACTAATTAAAAGTGTTTCATTCTGTATGTGAAAGGCTGTACTAAATACAAGACTAAAAAAAAAAAAAGAAAAAACAAACAAACAAACAAAAAACCCCACTGATGTCTGGGATCTTGCCCTGACAAGCTCTGACACCTATTTCATTTGGTAAGTTTAGCATTCTTTCACAAGGCAACCACCAAACAAACATTTATTGATCAAGTACCATGTGCTAATTCCATGCCAGGAATACAGAGATAATACTTTGTAGCCTCTTTCCAACCTGCTCCATTCTTGGCATAGCCTTCAGTGAGTTCTTGATGAGATGTTTGGGCATGCAATCTATTCGGAAATTTTATTTTTAGTTTTCAATCATCTATAGAGCTCATTTCAGTAGATAAAAAAAATGTTGAGGCATAGAAGACCCCTATCTACCAAGGAAGAAGAGGGCAGTAAAACAAGTTGCCTTCAGAATGTGAATGCAAAAGAGACTCCCAGAAAGTTAGGAGTTACTACGTCACTCTTGGAATCATAGAAACCACAAACAGCCTTTTGATATGAATGTTGTGATTTCCCCAGCAGCATGGATTTGCTTCTGTGGATGGTGAATCTACAACTCTGCGCACATATGTCTTGATGGACCTAAACACATATAGCATGTGTGTTTTCTTCTCCATCATGGTAAATTTTAGGATGTTTTCTAACTGGTGCTCTGGGAAACTCCCTCTGTGTTCTTAATGTAGTTACTATTTCCACTTAACGATGTGACTATTCTGGGTACTACCAGTTAGCAGCAGAAGCAACACTGAGAACACCATGGTCTAGCTTTCTTCTAAAGACCTGAGAAGGCTGAACATCTCATTTCCTTTCATGTCAGCTATGAGTCAGAGGTGAGAGATTATTAGCCATGTTGAGAAACCCGGGCAAAGCGGAGATGAGTGGTTTCACATGGTTAGGCAGTAACACACCAGGAGAGGCCGTGAGGATTCTTCCCAACTCCTAATTAGCTAATTGGCTAGAGCTGAGGGAGAGGAGGCTCTGGCTGCTGCAGGATTCTGCTCCCTTCTTTTCCAGGGGTAGCATTCTCTCCAGTTAATCAGCGCTTCCCCATTCTGAATGGGGAGCAAACTGGGAAAGCCATTCCAAACGCAACACGTGTCATCCCCGTCTGAAAGCACAGGTTGGAGAAGAACCACATTTGAACATCTTACCTAGGCTGGACCGAGTGTTCGAACGTTCAATTATTGCTCTCTTGCTGGGATTATTTAGGACAGACCTCTTAGCAAGAGAAATGTCAGCTGTCACTCTCGTTATTGATATTCTATGAATAGGAACACAGAACAAAACAAGCCAGTAAAAATGTCATAGGGCTCTCCACGTGATTTATAAGCGCAGTACTTAATAACCACTTTACATACTACAGTGCAAGCACAGCATAATAAACATTGGCCACAAGTATTTTAAACAGGCTTTGGCTAGTATTAAAACACAAGCAGAGCAGAATACAGGAAGGTTTTGGCTATTTAACAACAACAACAAAATGGTTGCAGCAAAATTGCAGCTCCTCCTCCATTACTGTCTGCCTTGCTGAATTCTCTTTAATGCACACCATACCAGGAGGGAATCAAAACACATGAATAAACCATGCTCTTTCTAGGAAGCGGCGACACAATTTCCCACAATTCACAGTTGAGTTGCTCTTGCACAAGACTTTCAAAAACTACAGATGTCAATGCTGCCGGTCAAAGGGAGAAATCATCGAAGACAATTAACCAGTTGGTAGCTCTGTTGCATTCCTGGTGCTCAACAGTTAATTCGTGATACACGAAGCATTTCTCCACAGGCCCAAAAGAAGGTTTGATTTCTAAGGATATGAAAAATATGATTTCTCTTCTGCAGGCACAAGACTCTTCAGTGTAGTTGCATATGTTGGGCACCCATAAGAAGGCAGGGTGGGAATTGTGCCAGGACATTTTTAAGTTAGAAAGTGTCCTGCAGTCACACAAGAGAGTAAAGCAAATCCATTGCAAGTGAAGGAGAGAGGGGTCTACATGCGTATGATTATCAAATGAGAGTCTCTGCAGCTCACAATTTTAAATTCTTTAAAATAAACCGGGAGTGAGCAACTTCAGACTATTATCTACCTGCAGAATGCAAAGAATGCCTCTCTAGGCCAGTTACTGCCACCATGGACCTTTCTCCATTCTTATCTTCACAACCTGCCAGGGTTCCAGAAAGGAGACAAGGAGAGCAGCACCTCCTCCCCTTTATGCTCAGTTAGTACATCTGATCTTCTTCATTTTCACACTCCCTTTGGGAGTTGGAGCAGGAGAGAGGTGTCATTACTGATCATTATTGAGGCCTATGTCATTTCACACCTGTCTTGGGACAACACTCCCAGCACTCTCAGGAGACTCTTCACCTGACTTCAGGGACCTGACTCCTTGGGGAGAATTAAAAGTATTCCACTTGCCAAATGGTTGGAAATCACGTTTTTAAAGTAAAAGACTGTGCAAGAATTCTGGTGCCATTTTAAAGCAAAGTACCCCTTGCTTGTGTCATTGTATTTATAGGTTGTAGATGGTCAGAAAGATTTAAATGTTTTCATTTTTAGACTTTCCATGCCCTAAGAAATTACTGGAGGCATCCTCAATGGTCTTCTGCAGAAACTAAGCATTTGGTGGAACACCTCCAGGGCCGCTGGGAGCCGCCAGGGAGGCGGAGTGGGCGGGGCTCAGCTTCCCCAGCCAGTGACAGGCGAAGGAAGGCCTCTGCATTTCTGTTTCCTACATTGCTGCTCTATATGATTTTATTGTAAAACGCTGTTCAACGGCTGCAAGACATTGGGAAACACTGGTCAAGTAAAATTTCCTCATTTTACCGAGAAGGAAAACTGAGACCGAGAGAGGAAGTGCCCTGAGGTTAGTTAGAGGCTAAGAAGGTATAAAACACAGCCCCCCAAGCTCCAGGCCAGTACTTAGCCACCTAATTTAACAATTCTTTTACAGTTTTCTTCCCCAGCAACCCATTCTCCAGACATGAGCCACATGGACAGGGGCAATGCTCAGTTAGTCTTGGCCAGGTGCTGACAGATGGTCAGGATTTATTACTTGAAGTCAGGTGAAGCCCACATCTGAGCCTCCATTCCTCATTGGCTGCTGCAACCTGAGGCTTGAAATCTCACAGGCAGTCCTCCTGGTCACAGCTTCTTTTATTTACATTGCTTGTTTATAGTTCCTGTTTCTGTTTTTTGTTTTGCTTGTTGTTTTAAGAATGAAGTTGCTGGTTAGGAACATTCAGTGAAGTTCCAGAGCAATTCAAATAGATGACTGGAGACAAGTGGGTTGGTTTAGGGACGGAATTCAACTTTCTAGAAATAATTATTTTTGGAGAGCCCAAACAGTCTATTCTGCTTAGGTGAAAATCAAATTTTCTAGTTCCATTCAAGCCAAATAGTGACCCTTGGTTCTTAAAAATCGAAGGGATTATCAACAGATACACACTTTGGTTTTTGCTGGGTTATAAACATTTTTACAAAGCCATTTTCAAACACATCCAAAGTTTTACAACACACACACACACACACACACACACACACATACACACACACACACAAGCATAGAAAAAAACTGCTTCATATAAACCCCAAATAGGAAAAGGTGTAGATAATAAAGGGTTCTTGTTTTATTTGTTAATAAAATACCAACTAATTTTTAATACAAGTTATTTCTTAATAAAAGTACACAGGCATGAAAGACCTCAGGAGATGATAGACACAGCCCCAGGAACCTTTTAGTAAGACAAAGGAGGAGTTTCTTATTTCTAGGCAAAGATGCTTACTATTCTCAAGATCAGATACCAAATTCAAACTTCTGTGTTTTGTTTTTGTAAAAGGCTCCCCAGCAATGTAACTACATTGCATTCACCATTGAATGTTATCTAGTTTATATACTTTTTTTTACTTGATATCATTTCTACATTTTTTATTGCTATACTCTTATCCCCTAGTGTCTTTCAGCACTTCCACACATCTTGTTTGATATACGTCTCTAAAAAGTTCCCTGGGAAGTTTTCCTGTGATATAGTGTCAGTAGTTACTGGTTAGTAGATAAAAGACTAATAGAACTTCAGTTCCTCAGCAGACTGGGTATAGTAGCAAATGTCACTGACAACTAGCAAAAATAATTCTCTAAATTTTGCGATGCTGAACCCCAAGTGTTGCTTAGTTCTGTTTTGGAATTCATCACAATTGTGGTCATCCATCATGATCTATCAGTGTTAGTTTTCTGTGATTTTCTATGGAAAGACATTACTTTCAGTTACAACACACTCATTTAAAAATAACTAGTATTTCCATGTTAGTAATGGAACAGCTGTAAGATCCTTCTATACTTTATCCTCCCTATAACTAATATGCAGCCCTGGTATTGTATTAATTTATTTTAGTCCTAGTATGCATAGAGAAAAGTGCTCCAAAGAACAGACAGTGCACTGTCAAGACAACAGGGATGGAAGGCATACATAGACCTGAGTATTCTTTCCGGATCTTTCTCTTGCTGGTCAGTAGATAAAAGACTAATAGAACAAGACTGTGAATGAGTCATGTCAGATTTTGAGCATCAGTATTAAAATCAATGTAACAGTGATAGTAGCTTTGTCATACTATCTCATGGGATTGTCATTGGGAGAAAACAAGATAATATATAAAAAGTCTTTTCTTAAATAATTATTCATAGTGTCCTGTGTTGATAGGCACATATGTAATGTATACAAGACAATTATTGGATATTTGAAGACTTGAAAAAGACAGTTTCTTTATATCCTATCCTCAAAAGTTAGCAGTCTACCATGAACTCTTCCATCCCTGGAGTCTGTGATGTTTATATACCTTGAGGGTGGGAGAATCAGGGTAGACGTGTAATCAAAACCTGCCGATTTAAGTACTCATGTTTGCATTAGAGCCTTCGATTCATTATCTCTAGTGTTTGTCCTCCGATGAGTCTGCATTTGAATGGAGAGTGGCAGGAGGAAACGGTAAGGGAATAACGTTGATCATGAAACAGAAGGCACGGTGCTGTTCTTTTCCATCTGTTGACTGCAATTCCAATCCTTCCATGACTTGGCTGCTCTGTGACAGCGTTAGTCCTTCCCATTTCCTTTCATAAATAAATACTCTCTCTAGAGTCTCCCTAGGTTGTATTCTCAGCCTCTTTTTTTCTTCAATTCTTTCTCAAATCCTTTTTTGTTGTTCTTTCTTTAAGTGTTCCTTAGCTAATAACATCCTTTCGCTTCAGATCCCATCTGTATAAATTACTTGATGTCCATGTAGGATTTTGGCTATGATCACGTTGGTTACAAAGTCTCCAATAACCGCCACAGAGCTGATCTGGTCCAGTTGGCAAAAAGCTTAAACAACTTCATTGGGGTTTGACATGATTAGCGTAGGTCAACAAATTGCCATCAGTTTGACTGCTTGCTGTTCAGCCTCTGAATGAATGGTAGATTCAACCAGCTGAACAAACCGCATCGCCAAGGATGATGCTCAGTGCATGTTTGAGGCACGAACAGAAGAGAGCAAAGCTCTGTGCCACAGTGCACCCGCTGTATCCTCACCAGGCCAGTCCCATTGTAGCAGCTTGTGGAGCTTACTTAGCTTATGACCTGTGCACAGCAACGGTCACTATGTGTGGACATCCACGCGCACAGGGGCCCGTCAGGAACTCTTTCATGTTGTGCTTTTCATTTTTCTTACGTGAATTATGGTTAGACCCTACAATAATAGTTATAGCAAAAAGAATTGTATAATAAGTAGCTCTAAACAAACTCAAATAATTTCTAAGGTATCCAAAAAGGCAAGCATATGATTCTGTTATGGTCAAGCTATTGGACTTTAATCCAATTTGTTGGATTATTTTCTAACCAAGATCTGAAAAACAGTTTTAAAGAAGGAAGCCTCTTTTTTTGCTCTGAGAAAAATAGGACTTTCTCCTGACTAGTTTGTCTAACCCACTGCATTCATAGCCAGTGAAACAGAGCAGGTTTCCAGTAGAACATATTGTTTACGTTGTGTGGCTGTGTGAACGCCTTCTGTGTGATTGTTCTCTTGGATGGTTTCAATTAAAGATGATTTGTTGTTTTCTCTCCTTTTATTAATTGGTAAAACATAATGCAGCAGGTTGTCATGGCTCAACATGTCAGGGCAGACAAGTCAGAGTCAGATAAGCAAATCTCTTCTTCCTTATCAGTCTCCCATACACTCAACCAATAGATTCAGTACAGGTTTTTGTGCAGCACTGGCTGCTTATCCTTTGAAAGCAAGTCCACTCACCTACTCCCACCTTTAATGTCTCTCTCCAACTGTGCTGTAGATGAGATATCTCAAGGCTGACTCACCTTCTCCAGCTATTACTTTTGCTGCTGTTGGATTTGCCCTCAGATCTTCCGCTCCTCCTCTGTGTTATCAGACCCCATGGAACACTTGGCATTGACATTTTAATTCTATTTCTAGCACCATCTTCAATAGTGTGTGTAAGTGCTTGATACGGACAACTCTACCCAATTCAAAACAGATCTCTGTGTGTATAATTACATGCATTTCCTCTTTCTGGGCCTGAGGATTGAGGTAGAACCTCAGATTCCTCACCCTTAAAAGCAATAATTAACTCACTCATTTTCTCTTTGCTAAATTAGAATAATTCCTTTCTTCCACCCCCCCGCCCCCCCGCATAGGTCCCACATTTCAAATCTTTAACGTTGTTTATAAGGATGTTATGTGGGGACAAAAGCAATCCAACACAAACTTTGGTGGTGTTATGAGATGGAATTTGTTCAGCTCAAGGGCTGTTATGGGGCCACAAGAAGAGTCACTGCTCAGATCTTCCTCAGGTAAAGGTGCCACAGTTTAAAACCACGTGACTTCAAGCATAGCGGAAGGATGTCTGCATGTGCAGCCAAGAACACTGAAGACTGAGCCATGCATGTTAGCTGCCTCCAATCCACAGAGGGCTGCATCAGGGGAAAGGTTATGGCCCAGATCATCCGAGGGCAAGACCAAGACTAATACTATTAAGTTAAAGTCAGAGCTCAGCTGTTGCTTTACAATGCTTTCTTAAGAAATGAATTCCCAAAAGCCAACAGTCTTCAAACAGAAGCAGGTTAGTGGTTGTTAGAGAAAACAGATTAGAATAAAATATATGTTACATTTTTCTCCAACTCCAATATTCTTGTATTCAGTGCTATTCACTTGTTTTCTATATAATTAACTACTTTATTCTTTTCCTATATTTTTTAAAAAGAGGGGAATAGGATAAATCCACAATTAGCTTATAGCTCTTTAGGTCCACCAGATGAATGTGGCAAACACTATTATTTGTTCAATAATATTTATATCCTCTTCCTCCTGGGCTCATAGCTAAACTATGTATTTCCCAGCCTCCTTTGCAATTAAATGTGGCCATGTGACCAAGTTTAACCAAAGAAATGCAAGAATCAATGTGTGTCACTTCCAGGCCGGCATGCTTCTTTTCCCACCAGATGATTGGAGAGACCACCCTCGGGCCGAGGGCCCCCAGTGATGGGTGGAACAAACTTTCTGCCCAATCCTCCCCTTCCCCATATCTTCTAGTTGAGGAACATCTGCCTAAGACTGTCAAATGAGCAACAACAAGCTTGTGTTTGAATCATTATGCATTTTAGGATCTATTCATTAAGGCACCCTAGCCTATACTAAGGTAGTTAGCAATTCACATAATTGCACTGAAGCATTCTGATTTCTTGAACTAAAATCTCAATTATTGGAACTACAACCTCAGTTTATTTTCTTTGTATATAGAACCCAGAAATGAATGACTATTTTAATACAATTATCCAGAAGCTTTTCCTTTGACAAATATATACAATTTGTACTTAAAGCATTATCATGTTTTATTTTTTCCTAAAATACCATATTTATTAAAATATTTGGTAAGTTGGCTTCATTTAACCATACTTTTTATTCCACACTATTTATATTTTCTTCATTTTAATAAATCTTCGGGTATTTACAGGTGGTTATTTTTACATGGATTGCATTCTGCATGTGAAAGAGCTTAGCACTTAGTGTCGAGTCAATGTGAACTTTTTAGCATTTCTCTGCAAAATACAGAAACTTAAATGATAAAAGTATCTGATGGCTAAAGACTGAGCCAGGATACATACAAAATTCTATATAATAAAACCCTAATATGCAAATAGACTGAATGGCAGAATGACTAGTCGCTATGATGCACACTGACCACCAGGGGGCAGATGCTCAGTGCAGGAGCTGCCCTCTGGTGGTCAGTGCACTCCCACAGGGGGAGTGCCACTCAACCAGACGCCGGGCTCATGGCTGGTGGTAAGGAGTGAGGGGTCCCGGACTGCGAGAGCCCCAGACTGCGAGAGGGATGTCTGACTGCCAGCTTAGGCTTGATCCCCCTGGGGGCGGCAGGCAGACATCCCCCAAGGGGTCCTGGACTGTGAGAGGGCGCAGGCTGGGCTGAGGGACCCCCCGCCCCACCAGTGCACGAATCCGTGCAGCGGGCCTCTAGTAGACCAATAAAATAACAAGTTAATTTATAGTAAAACAAACCCTGAGCTAAGCATCCAAAGAAGTATTATTCTCCACAAAATAGTCACTTTGAGAGGCTTATGATGAAAACATTTCTCGCACTCTTTTTTTGAGCAAGTTGAGTACTTTATGTTCATATCTTTATATAACACACACACATATACACGTGTAATTCCCAAATGATATTACCCAGCTTGACCAGTGAGCCACTATATTCATCATAATTATTCTATATTTTAAATTAATAATTTCAATAAAACAAGTTTGGTCTGAATTCACCAACAAGTGAGAAAATAACGACAGAAAATTAGCTAAGGAACACTTATTTATATACATTTAAATAAAATGAATGTATTATTTTCCTTCTCCAAGTCCTTTTTCCCTTGGGGATTCAATGCTATCCTTCATTTCTTTAGATTTTCAGAGCTCTTTCATTGTATTCTTCCCTGACTACTGACTTTTAACTACAGATCTTCAATTGCTGAAAACATAGACCCACAGACCAATCCATCATACAAGTTTGATTAAAGGAAAAAAATACAAAAATATCTATATGTCTCACCTCCCATCAAACCTGTGCTTCAGGAAATCAAAGAGGGCTTTCTGCATCATGTCTGTTACCTTTGCAGAGGTGAGAAAAACAGAATGAGGCAAACACACGCAGAGAGAAAGAGAAGTCAAAAGTAAGGAGGTGGAAGGGAAGGGCACTGTGATTGAGCAAATATGTTACTACAGCCAGTCTTCTCTAAGGGGTAGGTTATTGTTGAAGGCATTTTTCATTCTTAACCACCCACAGTTACTAATTTTCCCCCTTGGTTCTCCTTCAGGGTGTGGAGGAATAAACCAGCAATATTCACTAGACCCCAACCCTCCTCCCTTATGAGGGTTTAGAACTACCCGCAGGAGACCACCTCAGGCTGGCTTTGCACACAGGTGCTGCCTGTCCTCGCCACACCTGAGTGGTGTTTGCCTCCAGTGAGGAGCAGCTAGAACCCCTCAGACCAGCCCTGGGCTCAAGCAGTCCTGCTAGTCTGTGCATGTGGCTAAAAATTCTCTATGCTCAGGGCTGGATTTCTGTAGCTCACTCTCCTGCTCTTCCTCTGACATTCCCCTTCAAAGAGAGCAGGGAGAGGGAAGGGCCAGGGAGAGGAAGTGGAAAGGAGAAAAAGAGCTGGGAAGGAGATGGGATGCTTAGATCTGCCTCTAAGAAATTGATGAATTCATTCAACAAATGTACACTGTGTGCCTACTAGGTAAGGGCCAGACATTGTCCTAGCTCAGTGGGAATGGTGCCCTGGAAGTTGCCCACCTTCTGATTTCAATGTCCCACCTGTTACCTGTGCTAGAACAAAGTCCAAATGGCAACATCTGCAATGTAGCACATCTACATCTTTACTCTTTCCTTCCAACATGGTATTGGGAAGAAGTTCACTAATATTTTTAGTGGAGTTTTTCCCTTTATAGGACTTTTAAAATAAATACGCAGAGAAATATTTGGTGGACTATGCCATCGACTTGAGCACCAGCAGGTGAGATTTGGTGCTCTGAGGGTTTAGGTTTGGCTGGCAAAGTGCCTATATGTCCCCTTCTGCTGTTCATAGTCTATTATTTCTAATGGGAATGGGAACGGTTGAGACAGATAAAGTCCTTTTCTTTGAATGTGTTGCAGAGTAAACCTTTTAACAGAACTTGCCATTATCAATAGTTTGAGGGAGATATTTATTTCTAAACAATGTGATACATCATAGATGAGAAGTGTGCCCAGGGGAGCGGGGAGAAAGGACGAGGGGTGCCCCAAGCCCCACACTGCCCATCCCCATCACAGGCTGAGAGGTGGCTTCTGTGGGCACCCATCTGTAAGCAGGCCCTGGAGGAGCCAGCACTCAGTCGCTGTTTCCTAGATTCTTGATCTAGAACTGAATGAAGCAGAACAGGCTGGTGTTTGTACCTCATAACCCTTCAGTGACGGCCCCACTAACACCACCGGACGCATGGATGGCACAACATCGTAGGGAGGAATGTGCTCCGTCTGAAAGAGATGATTTGACACGGGTGACAAGGTGAGGATGAGTGCGCCTCCTCGTCAGCCACAATATTCATAATTCTCAGGTCAAACAAAAACTGATGACCACGGGCCCCCACCGACGAGGCTCATCCCTTATTTTATAGCCATTCGGACCACTGAAATGGAGCATTGCAGGCATATGCGGAGAGAAACCTTAACAGTAGATTTAAAAAGGAAATACTCACTTACCACTTTTTGCTTCTGTTTGGCTAAAAGACAACAATGAGAGCCATATCAAAATATGTAATATCTGCAAATGATAGTACATGACTTTAAAAGATGGAATAACACGCCCATTTGTGCCTGTAATTCTCATCATTTCACTGTCACCCTCTCTGCAGAACACGGTTCTACTACTGCCTTCATGTTGGGCCGATGTTGAGGACATGAGAAGACAGACACCTCCTCCCTGTGTGAGTGACCTCACATCCTGATCTCATGTTGGGTGGGGAGGGTGGACTTCACAACAACACTGGAAGCTCTGGGCCAGCTCGGGCCACAGGCTGCTTCCTGCTGAACGCGGCATACAGTGCGGCTGAGGTCGACTTGGGCAAATAAAATGTGATAGAGAGAAACTTAGAATAACAATTCTGGTCAAAATAATCATCACCGCAGTCACTCATTCTTTTTGGATTTTGCAATCCTTTATGTATTCGTCAGTCTTTTGGTTCACATTCCAGGATACTGATACATTTTTCCTACGAGGCTGCTCCTAAATTCAAATAAGTTTATAACCAGTTATTCCTATTCTTTTTTGTTTGTAATAGTGAAAAGCTGCAATGCCCTAAATGTCCAACTAATAATGCCCTAAATCCCAAGTGGGATGAGGCAAAATATACTCAATATCTGATTAAGGTGGTTTTGTGGCCACCCAAGCAGGTCCAGTCCATGTGGGGGCGACCCAGAGACCTAGCTGGGTTCACCCACACACGCAGAACTGTTCCAGAACCGATGCCGCTCCCTGCAGGTATGGCCAGGAGAGAGCCTGGACTTGTCATTCCGAATTGGTAACATGGGATGCCCTAATGCAGCATCAATTCTGGGCCAGAATGAAATTAGCCCAGAGGAGTCAGGGAGTGTGGGGGGAGGAAACTTCCTGCTGGAATACCCCCACAATTTCCAAATGCACAACTCCTGATCGGGCCACCACTCTCCCTTCATTACCATTCATTTCAGGGCTCAGCTGCCTGCTGTCCAATGAGAACTGAGGTCATCTGGGCCCAACCCTCCCAATCTCCACAGCTGCCCATGGAAGCTGAAACAGAGTGTTTTCTTGAAAGTCTACAACTTTTTTTTTTCTTTTGAATTGGTCCTCACCATCTTAAAGTCTGTTGGGTTCATGAATGGAATAATGAACTAGCTTCAGATGGGTTTACACAATGTTAGGTAAATAAGATTTTTCAAAATTATACAAATATCTAAATTTTTAGTACCACAACTAACCTTTAAATAAAATCAAATTACTATAGAAGACATGTGAGTAGGAAAGACATATTAAGTAGAAAAAAAATCTTAAAATCAAGCCTTTTAAATTGTTTCCAAATCAGTAAGAATACTTGCATGTATATGCAAATATTAAGCAATGAATGCATTCCATTAAAAAGAGTTTAGGTGAAACCCTCACCTGCTGATGTGGGTGTTGCTCGAAATGTCCCTGATACCATTTCTCCAAGACTTGAAGAAGAATTTCCACTGGACTTCCTAAAATATAGAAAAGGAACTTAAGAGTCCTTCCCCAGATCCTTTGAAAATAGAGCTTGACAGCACAAAGCTTTCTTTGGCCTTAATCCTCCTAGATAATTCAAAACACACCATATCCTGTACAGAGACAAACTTCAAGAGTCTGTCCAAATGTTTTCTTTGACCTCATTTCTCAGAGAAAATGGAGAACTAACTGGGACCTGGAAATATTTTGCATAAATATCTCTTCTAGTTATTCAATGCAGATATTAGGCATAAGAATGTTTTTGTGAGCGGCTTGCTTTTCACTAGCAAGCTCACCAGGGCACCACTCCGATGTCAAACACAGCTCAAAGCAAGCAGTAAGAGCTGGAAGAAATGTTTCTTCTTAGAAGCGATTATGTGGGAATCAGAATTAAGCACTGACAGTTTTGTGCCCCAGGATAGAAGATCATCAGCACTGTTCTCCTCACGTGGCTCTGGAAGCTTCCCTGCAGCCCCTGGGGGCCCTCAGGAGCCCACCTCCCCACTTCTCCACTGTCCCTCCTTTTCCATGCTTCAGAGTACAGTCCCCAGGGTCAGAGCGATCTGATTTCTCGTCCTGGCACATCATATCACATCTCTGAGTCTTAGTTTCCTCATCTATTGACGGAGGAGCTACACCTCCCAGGGTCGGTATAAAGAAAATAAGATCATATCTGTAGCTCTTGGCTTGACTCTTGCACCTTCTGCAAAGTAAGCTTTCAGTTCAAAAGGATTTAAGTCTAGAATGATATTATGGAAAAGGATAAGTAATAAAAATAATAAGTAAACTAACAACTTTGGAAATGATAATAATACATTTATTATTTCATTCAACATATCTTTATTGAGTATCCACTGTTCTAAAAATTAGGGGTGCAAGAGAGGGGGGAGAAATGCAAAATCCCTTCACATATAGAGACAGACTCTATCTGTGGGAGATATTAGTATCAAACAGATGAATAGGTAAATATATAGTATTTCTCATATTAATAAATGCAACAGAGAAAACTAAGTCAGGATGGAGATGGGAAATGGGTACAATTTTAAATATGGTGGCAGGAAAGGGGTCACTGAAAAGGTGATATTTAACGAAGATCTGAAGCAGATGATGGAATGATCTGGTGGGAATATGAAGGAAAGAGTTCCAGTAAAAGGAAGCAGCAAGTACAAAGGTCCTGAGGCAGAAACGTAGTATGGATGTGTTTAAAGAGCATCCAGAGAGAGAGAAAATTTAGAGTAGGGGGAACAAGAGAAATCAATAATTAATAATATTATAGGAGTGTCGAATACTAAACAAGATTGATAAGTAAAAGTGGGGTTGACTGTACTTTTATTTCTATCACTGTTTAAGAGGTTCCCATATGCCAAAGGCAACAGGACCCCTAAACAGAGGAGCTATTGAAATAGAAAAGGATCTAACAGAAAAAGGAGGTTGAGGGTCAAGAGGAAGAACTGCTTCTATTTTAGGACTTACAAAAAAATGACAACACATATCCAATCAAAGCTTCCATGTAGGCTCACCTGTGCAGGCTCCATATGAGTCTGATTTCTCTCAAGCTCTGGTGTACCCCTGGAACCTTGAAATACCTGCACCCTGAGATATGTGCCTACTTCATTCATTCCCTAGAGGAGGATCCATCTGAAGGTGGGCAGAGTCTTTACCTTATTACCAAGACATGGCAGGTGCCACAAGAAGCCCTGGGTGGAGAAGGTGCTACTGGTACCAGGACCCACATGGACCACTGCATTCTGTGCCAACTAGAGAGAGAGTCTCTGAGAGTGAACCAGGAAGAGCCAGGATGCCCTCTCAGGCCGGCTCCCACTTCCTGTACTGAGAACCATGCCCTATGGGACCCTGATGAAGGACAGCTTAGATCCCAAGCAGCGTTTGCTGAGGCTGCGGCAACTCATGTGGATTCCAGTGGTGCCGAGCTTCAGGGAGAATGAATATCTGAAACACCTGTGTGTCCATTTCAGAAACACCTCATACATAGTAAAGTATCTTTTACTTTGAAAGCACAAAGTTTGAACCCAGGAAGCAAACTTGAAAATATCGCCTA